ATGTCAAAATTAATACCTACTAATCTCTATGTGTATATATATATTATATTTCTTCTAAAAAATTTATTCTTTCTTCTAACTGCAATCTCAAATTCTTGTTTTTTCTGTTTTTTATTTAAAATTTATTGTCTACTACATTCTCGCTAACTTCCTATATGCATAGGGATGATGAAATGAATAAAGATATCAATGATCATATTAAACCCAACAAACACTGTTTAGACATAGAATCTGCCCTTTAAGTTTGAAAAAAAGATCAAAATTGCCATGAAGAAGGGAAATCAAAATAGAAGGAAAACCCACTCAGGCATTTAAACAAACATTTATTAGGCATTGCATTTGGAGCATGCAGAAAATTAGACACTGTTACGGAACTCAGAAGCCAATAAGCAATAAAATCAATCAAGCATTATTTCAAAGAAAAGTCAGTAAGAATTCTAAAATTATGCATGCCACATTAAAACTAACGATAAAACCACTACTCTTAAATTGCAATGTTAAAACTAACAGGTGATAAACACCAATCCTTAATTCAAGATCGATTAAAAAGAATTTTATTGTTAGGAGAAGGTTATGGCAACCTTGTACTGTGGGAGGGAGAAACACGTAGGGACCAGACTCAAGCAATCCAAACAGCTCAAAACTATAGAAAGTAAACAAAATTGCTAGCAATTCTCTTAGTTTGTGTTTGGCAATGCAAATTTGAATTTAATTTGTGTATTTTAAATATATATAATCAAAATACATGTAATTCAAAATACATGTATTTGGCCATTATCCTTAAAAAAATAATAGAAATTAATTAAATTTCACTTACCCTGGCTGGTTGCCCTCCTAGAAATATTGTACTGCTTTAATATTTTTAGGCAGTTTGTAGATCCATCTTACCTCAGTTTTTCAACTATCCTATCAAGTACCATTCTTAGATAATTCAAGTCAAGATTGTCTTTATCTTTTCTTTTTCGGTTCTCTATCTTTTTTCGGCCCGTCGTCTATTTTTTTTTTAATGGTAAAAATAGTAGTACCAATAATAATAATCAGAACAAAAAATGTAGAAACAAACAAGCTTATCAAAAGAAAAAAAATGTAAAAACAGCTTACCTTGTTTGTTTCATGCAAGTTTGACAGCTTGGGCATTCCTTTAATTAAAGGCATGCTATATCTTTGCTTAATCTTTTCACCCCTATTGATATGTATCTTTTTATCCCTCATTATTATTGATTATTGCAGAGATTCAGCCAATTATGCCATTTTAACTTTAAAGGCAGAGTGATTGAAGTTCATCAGTCACCTGGGCAACCAAGGTTCTCTTACCGAGGCCACTTAATTGGTGAGCTGCTGTTTATATTCACATGGATTTCCTTGGAAAATATGATGGTTATTGCACAATCAGTGAGTTCTTCTGGAAACTATTATAATTATACTTCTACTTGAGTCACAAGGAAACAATCGAGGAGTTAAGTGGGTCCTCTAGCAGTTAGCCTTTAAAACTAAAATTGCATCTTCTTTTGGTACCAATTTTAACATTCTACATCTGCGGCAGCCAGCACCGTGAATGGTTTTATTGATGGGAATTAAACTGTTGATCCACATAAAGTTGATTAAAGGATAGGGGGATCAGTTTTCTAATAATATTGTTTCTTGGACTTTGCTGCATACCGAGCTACTAATCTGATAGTTTGACTTAAGAAAGGTCATTTTCCTTTATTTGTTCTTGACTAAAATTAAAATCCTAAAGATAACATCCCGTCACTATCTACCTTTGCTAGTCATTAAGAATGTTATTGATTCCATGGCCAATGCAAAGCTGATATGTAACATAATCCTAACAGTTATATACTTCTATTTTCTCTACCATAGTCAGCATCCCTTTGCACTCAACATTATGAGTACACATGGCATTGCTTTTAATTTGACTTCAATTCGACTATCTTCCATGTTTGTTTTACATAATGCCTCTCCTGAGATTTCTAGTTGTGCTTTGATTTTAATCAGGCTCGGTGGTGGAGTTGCTGAGCAAGTCATGGAATCTAGCTTAAGGTGCATTGTGAGCAACTAGGATAAGTGGTACTTGGACCGCTTGGACACTA